ATTGCATATTCCAGGGATATCACACTGTCTTGATTACTGCAGCATTATAGTAAGTCTTGAAGTCAGGTAGTGTCAGTCCTCTGACTGTATTCTTCTTCAATATTGTGTTGGCTCTTTTGGGTCTTTTATCTCTCCATATAAACTTTAGAGTCTGTTCATCAATATCCACAAAATAACATGCTGGTATTTTTACTAGGATTGCATTGAATCTATAGATCAAGTTGGGAAAAACTGACATCTTGATTATATTGAGACTTCTTATCTATGAACATGAAATATTTCTCCATTTATTTAGTTCTTTGATTTCTTTCATCAGTTTTATAGTTCTCTTCATATAGATCTTGTACATGTTTTGTTAGATTTATACCTAAATATTTCATTTTTTGGGTGTTAATGCAAATGGTATTGTGTTTTTAATTTCAAAGTCCACATGTTTATTGCTGGTATATAGAAAAGTGACAGATTTTTATAGATTAACTTTGTATCCTGCAAATCTTGCTGTAATCACTTATTTGTTCCAGGAGATTTTTGTTGTTGATTCTTTTGGATTTACTACATAGACAATCATGTCATCTGTGAACAAAGATAGTTTTATTTCTTCCTTCCCAATCAGTATGCCTTTTCTCTTCTTGTCTTGACTTGTCTTGTCTTAGTGCATTAAATAGGACTTCCAGTGCAATGTTGAAAAGGAGTGGTAAGAGGGGACATTCTGGCCTTGTTCTGATCTTAGTGGGAAAGCTTCTAGTTTTTTACCATCAATGATGATGAGATGTTAGCTATATGATGTTAGCTGTAGTTTTATTTTAAATATCTTTATTAAGTTGAGGAAATTTCCTTTTATTTTTGTTTATTTAGGAATAAACATTTATCATGAATGGGTGCTGGCTTTTGTCAAGTGCTTTTTTCTGCATCTATTGATGTACCATCTGATTTTTCTTCATTAGCCTGCTGACCTGGCCCATTTTTTTATGTTGGGCAAGTTGTGCATACCTAGGATAAATCCCACTTGGTTGTGATGTCTAATTCTTTTCATACATTTTTGAATTGAATTTGCTAATATTTTGTTGAGGATTTTTGCATCTATGTTCATGAGAGATATTGGTTTATAATTTTCTTTTAAAATCTTTGTCTGGTTTTGGTGTTAGGGTAATTATGTTTCATAGAATGATTTAGAAAGTATTCCTCTTCTTCTATCTTCTAAAAGAGATTTTAGAGAATTGGTATTATTCCTTCCTTAAATGTTTAGAAGAATCAGTGAACCCATGTGAGCCTGATGCTTTCAGTTTTGGAAGGTTATTAATTACTAATTCAATTTTTAAAATAGATATAGGCCTATTCAGATGCTCTGTTTTTTAAAAATCTATTTTTATTGATTTTAGAGAAGAAGGGGTTGGGGAGAGATAGAAACATCAATGATGAGAGAGAATCATTGATCAGCTGCTTTCTGCATGTCCCTACTGGGGACTGAACCCACAACCCAGTCATGTGCCCACGGAAATCAAACCGTGATCTCATGATTCATAGGTTGATGCTCAACCACTGAGACACACTGACTGGGCAGTTTTTCCTTCCTTTATGTAGATCCAAGTTCTAGTTTTTTTTTTTAAAGAACTGCCACTGGCTCATAGAGGGAAACAGGGAGCAGGAGTTAGGTCACTCATGGAGGGAAGAGAAAATGTTCTGGAAAGATTCATTGCTTTCTTCTTCTTATGTAAGATGTGGTTTCCCCAAAGAAACAAGATGCTAAATAAAAGTTAGGGTCTCAAACCACAAGCATACTTTAACCCACGTTGTAGCTGACTATATTCAATTTAATTTTATTCACATCAACAAGGCAGAGTTTTCTTTTCATGCCAGAAGGAGGAAGTGGAAGTGAGTAGGCTTTGAGGATGACCCAAATGATGCAATTTATAGTTTTCACTGAGCATGGAAGTGTGTGTGTGTGTGTGTGTGTGTGTGTGTGTGTGTGTGTGTGTGTGGGGGGGTGGGAAGGGTGGGAGGGAGGATGGGGTGGAAAGATGAATAAAATGTGACCCCTGCCCTCAAAGAGCTGTAGTTGGAAAGGCAGATACGTACTCAACTAATATGTGCAATGATGGTGGAGGTGTCATCTGACCCCAGGGTGACAGAAGTATTCAGTCTGAGTGGGAAAAGCTAAAAAATTGTGGAAGATGTGGCAGCTTCCACTTGAAGGATGTTAGGGCATTTAGCAGCAAGGGGGTGAAGACAGTATGCATTTGAGGCAGAGAACATGGTTGGGCAAAGGTTCAGGATGGTCAGCTGCAGGGCACAGTCATGGAAGAGCTGAGAAGCTGCTGCAGAGGGTGGGGGGGCAGGTGGTCTTTTTTGAGTAGGTGTGATGATCTCATCACTTACATAGAAGGTAATTATTCATATTTTCATGTTGAATTACAGGCAGGTGATTTTCAAAAGCCTAATTCTTCTAAACAAATGTGGTCTTGCCTCAGACTGAAGAACTACCTGTCTCACATACAATGGTTCATTACCACGAAGAATAAGAAAGTGATTAACTACAAAAATGTCGTTATATTTAACTTTCTAGGGATGGATTTGTTAAAGAATAGCAAAAAGATGTTTAATAGCTTTATATCTATTTTGTAACTGTATTATTAGGAGTAAAGCATGCAAAGGCATGTGCTGTCCCTGGGGACACTGAGGTTGCAGGCTCTAACATGGGGCCGGGAGGAGGAATAAAGGAAAAAGTAAAGAAAGAATCCCTAACAAGGGTCAGGTCCAGGAATAACTTGCTAGACTATGGAGATTAATGTCAGTGCCCTCCTATTTGTGTATCTGGACAGAATCATGTATAAACTTCTTTCTTTTGGGTGTCCATGGAGTGAGGACTCTGTGGTGGGCAGTGATAAATCCAGTAAGTGATCTCTGATTTAATTGTGTTTATGTGATTTTATATTATCTGGACAAGAGGCTGAGTGGAATTCAGTCCTTTATTGAGATATTTGGTTGAGGCAAGCATTTGTTCACATCTCCATCTTCAGTTTAGTTTTTCCAGTGAGGAACTGAAACATAGAAAACTCATGGGTAGAGTCTATTGAATTCCTGAAATTCTAGTTCATTTGTAAGTCACTAATAGATAACAATTTACATACATATTAAGTATAAAATATATGGTGAGATACTTTAAGAAAATGCTTTTGAAATATTACAAAGTATTTATTATTATCTATTTTTATTTTCATTTTGTTTATTCAATCTTAAGCTCTTGAAGATGGACACCACTGTAATCTGATTTTGAGATACAAATTGGTGATATCTTGACTGGGGAAAGGTCTCATCTTTTCTTACTCTTAAAAATACTGGCTCTGGTCCCAATGGGGGACTCTTGAAGAAGCATAATTTTGTTTCTTACCCTACATCTTGCATCTACACGAGTGAAGAGGAAACCAACAATATTGATTGTTTTATCCATTTATACATTTCTGCCCCCTCATTCTCATCTATAAAGATATAGCTTTTTCAATTGTAAATTTTTACCTCTGTGGGCAAATAACAAATAATGTAGCTGTGTTACCAAAAACAGAAAAAAACCCCATATGAAACCATCCATAAAACACGGTATCTGACTAGCAATAAGGTATGGCATGATAAATCATGGTACATCACTAAATAGCATATTACACAATTGTTAAATGATAATTAGAGACACTGCATAAAAACATGAAAACATACTTAGGATATTATGAAAATATTAAAGAAAAACACATGATTATAATAGGTAAATATGCTAAAATGGAAATACTATAGTTCTATTAGGATAGTGGGACTATGGATTTTCAAAAATATTTTCTTCAATGTTATAAAAGAATAGTAACAGTGAGTTCACCAAATAAATGATGCTGTAGGTGTAGAGGGGAGATATTAGTAAACAATTAGAGGTTGGATATTATCAAAAGGGAAAACACATTTAAAAGAATAAATATTTCTTCCCACATTTGCCAGATCAATGGGTATTAAGATCCATAGAATTGAAAACATTTTCAAAGGAACTGGTTAGTAGGGTTTGGAAGAGAGCCTGAATTGAACTCTATCTGAATTTTGTTTACCATGGTAATTGCAATAGAGACTAAGTCTTGAAACAATTGTCTAAATATGCTCCAGCATGGGTATCTTGGGTGAATTTACACTTTGGAATCAAGACACAGTTTCACCTCCTTCAACATATCATTTTCCTCTTTAAAAATGCATCCGAATTATCAAGAGGTATTGTGATTTTAGGAAACTATTTTCCCTCCGTGCCAAATCCAAAGTAAATTACATTTAGTGTAAGGGTATGTGTTATATTACTTAGGGATCCAATATTTAAAAATTTCTCCTCAAAAATATTTTACTCTGAATATCTTCATTTTATTCCCAGAAATGTATTTTGCTGAATAAAAATATATTTGGTAATAAAACAAATCTGCTTTCACACATTTACAAAATTCTTTTTAGTAGTAGCAAGAATTCAATCCATGTCACATATTAGTAATCATGAATTGCATAACTTCGGCCTGCATTTTGCTGTAACTCATTTCATGGCAATATATAAAGTGCCTTTGCCACAACGCCATAGGATATTCAACCTGGGAATGAACTAAGAGGTAACCTAGCGTCAGTCAGTCCCACTCCTTTCTTCTCAGGGAACTGAGGTGTGAGAAGATAAAATTTGCCCAGGATCACCGATCTCATTTGCTGACATTTAAACCCTACCAAAAAACAATTACATACTTTTGATGTTGCATTTGACTAGAAAATTGTGATTTTTTAAGGGCATGATGTTTAAAAACAAGAATAATTGCCATACTTAGAGAATTACAGAGTTGGACCTGAAATACACAAAAGAGATATACCCAAACTTTTTGTCCTCAATTCCCCTTTTGGCAAAAAGTGCCTGAAACTATCTGACATTTAAAAAGAAATCATCCCCTAAGCCCTGAAAAAATAAAAATAAAAATAAAAATAAATAAAAAATAAAAAGAAATCATCATTCCTTAAAGGGTGCAAAATTATTCTGATCTTCAAGATTAAATATACCACCATTTCTATATATAACTCAATATTTCTCTTCAACTGGATCAGATACTATTCTGGCTGATTGACCTCTTGTCTATTACAGTTGATCAAATGAAAGAGGAAATACTTTTTAGGACCCCATTGTGATTTTTTTTCCTCAGCAGCAAAAGATTAAACATGAAATAAAGCAGACCTTTGCCATGTAATGTTTACTGATCAGATGAACTTAATAAAAACTGGGCTTTGGTTGATCCTAGTAGATTAACTCTCATTTCATTGGCACAGTCTTTGGGAATGCTGAACAAAAGTACAAATAATGACATTTCTGACATTTCCAGAAGTTTAATCATTGCATGTCATATAAATTCTGCATAAAGTTCAAGACTAAGGTATTGACTTCACAGTCTTTAGATTTTAAAAGGCATATAAGAATAGTAATCACCAGTACATGTTTTCCCAAAATGTTAAAGACACTTGTATACATATGCAGAATCCATTTTAACTGGATGAAAACAATTTTTGATCTATGAAAATATTACATTAAGTCATTTTGCACCTGATGAGGAAATTATACATGAATGATAGTAAATGTTAGAAAACACTTCAGATAAAGACCAGTAAGTCACTTTAAGTGAAGACTTTAATAAGTAACATAGCCATCTAAAAATGTTAGTTTTTCACACAGCCGGTCACATTTACTTTACTTTATTTGAAATTCCTGATCTTGTCAGAAGATATCATAAAACTCAATGACATAATTCAACTGTCTTTAACTCTCCTTTCTCCAGAAACCATCCTACCTAAGGAGGGATGCAGCTTTTCTGTCCTGATTTTTTCTTTTTTTAACAAATACTAAGTGTGAAAGGCTTTCAATAGATAATTATTTCTTATAACAAAGCATTGTGTTTTTTTCTTCTTTCAATCTTTTTCAGACCTAAAGCAGCTCCGAGTCCCTATGAAAAGCAGTTTTGTTTTGTTTTTTGGGGTTTTTTTTGCAGCCCACTCAAGATTTGCCTTGCTTTCAGCAGGTACTGAGTGGCACTTGTTGGGTTATTTACAAACCATCCAACATGGTTTAAATTGTTAAAAAGTAACTGGAACTGCTTCCTCTCCTACCCATTGCCTCTTCCAGTGTCCTTAACACTCATCACCCCTCCCTAAAATGTGTCCCCAACATGCCTATTTACATGGCTCTCAGGCACCAGACGTTTGCACACCCATCACATACCAGGTCAATCTCTAACAGTGTGAAGGCTGTTGGAGCGGGCAGTTTCCTTCCATCGGGAGCTGAGTGTAGTCATGTTTCTATCAGCACAGCGACCCTTGTATGCAAAGCTTAGACTATCGTCTCGTGGTCCCACCTGCCTTGGCTCTGATTGATGTAACAACAGTATCTGTCATAGGGACTGTTCTGCTTGTAGGAGCAAACGATGATACTGTCCTGGGGCACAAAGAAGATACTGTCCTCTGGCTCGGGGCACTCGGACCTGTCCCAGGCTGAGCACTTGGCATCCAAGGCACTGTAGGTGAGGGAACTGCCTGAGGGACAGTAGCCGTCCAGGTATCTGGAAGTCTCCTCCTGCTGCCCGCTCCGGACCAGGCTCTGGCATTCTCCTTCTTCCGTGGGGGTGGGAGTAGTGATAGAGCTGGCCACAGGCACCTCGGCCTGCCCCTGGGAGGGCAGCTTCCCCCGGAGGCCTGCCTTCTTAGCCAGCTCATCGGAGCTTCCCTTGCCTGACTCCAGGTCCGAAGGGGTCCTCAGCAGCTCCACCACCTCCTTGTCCTTGGGTTTCCGGAAGCAGGGCAACTTTCGGACCCAGAGCAGCTCATTTTCGGGCCACTTGGTGCACCCCTCAGTTTTCCTGGCCAGGGCAATGGCCGCGATGCCTGGCAGGCAGATGGCTGGTCCGATGGCCAGGAGGGGTATGTTTCCCAGAGTCTCTCCTTTCATCCCCGAGACAGTGAACATGAAGCCAAAGACCAGGAAGACACTGACCAGGGCCACCACCAGCCCAGTCCTCGGGTTAATGTCATCAGGCCGCATCTTTCACTCATCCAGGTTGGGGCTTCTTGCTGGCCAGGGAGCAGCTCTGCTGTCTTCCGTCACAGAGGAAACCACAGTGGGTTAAAAGAAATCCCCAAGTCCACTTCCCACCCACCAACTCCGTCTCTTTTACTCTTGGTCTCTCTCCACCTGTCTGACAATCTTGGTCTCTGCCTCTCTCTATCTCTTGCCCTGTTTCTGTTGCTCTTTGTCCGTCTGTCTGTCTGTCTGTCTGTCTGTATCTTTACTATTTTAATCTCAGTCTTTCATATAAGCGTCCACCGGCGGGGGTCACTGAGGTACCTGAGGTTTCCTCCTGTCTCCAGTCTCCTGGGAGCAGGGAAAGAAGCCAGTCTGAGTCTCCTTAGGAACCTCCACAGCAGCTGTGCCCTCGACTCTCTCCCTTGTTCCTGGAAGGAAAGCCTGGCTTTTCCTCCTGACAACCAGGTAGTGGGACGTGGGAGCCTGTCTTTCCCAACAGTGCGGGTCGCGGTCCCCCAGCTCTGGAAGCTAACGGCGGGCGGCGGTGCTGGCTCTGCGCGCGGACTTCCAGGCGTTGGAGGGAGGGAGGGAGAGGGGAGGACTTAGTGTGGGAAAGAGGGAAAGCGACGCGCGAGCCTGTCCGCGTTACATCACTTTCAGAGCAAGCTCAGAAACAAAAAGGACGTGTGGAG